GATCCTTTTCTGAACACCTGAATTCCAGGGAAGGAAAATGTGACGAGAATGGAATGCTGTCTTTGAGAGCTTTGGGGAAGGTGAGAGTGATCCTCATGCTTTCACGGGATGCAGATGATGATGCAGATGTCTCTCAGAGCTGAGAGTTAAGTGACCTGACTGGGAAGATGACTAGGTGTTTTACTCTTTGCCCCCACAGACTGTTTGTAATATTAATCAAAATAATAGAGAAGATATTTATCTAGAGTGTCAGGTTTGCAGAGTCATGGCTTAGCTGTTGAATTCTTACCCTTCAAGGGAGATGGGAGCATTGCCTGAAATAGCTCCTAAGTACATCACCCCTTATGTGCTTTGGTTGTGTAGGATCTGCGCTAATCAAAAATGAGCTTTGGAAATGCTCCTGTGATCAGAGACTTTGGAGAGGATCGTGTTAATATGAAATAAATTAAAGCAGCTTCCAACCAAAGACATATCCTCATTTGTCTTCCTCTCTGACCATTCCGTTCCCATTAAAATCAACTCTCAATGCTTTTAAAAGAGCTTGCTCCTGGTCTTGCACTTGAAGAACATTCCTTTTGTCATTGCACTCTGGAGAGAGAGGGAGTCAGTATTCAAGGCTAACTTGAGCAAATGCATCAGCCCCACAATCCTGCAGGCATGGGAGCCGGAAAGCTCTGAAGTACACTGAGAACCCTAAGTGTAGTCTGATGGGCTGTGCTCAGGGTTTTACAGGCTCATTCACAATTTGGAAGTCATTATCTCAAGCACATCTCTGTTGTCATCTCATTAAATAGCAGCCTCATGCTCTGTATTTTTTTTCTTTTTCTTTTTTTTTTTTTCACTTTGCAATAAAGCTTTGAAAGGGAAGTCAGTTTTATTCCTGACAGATACGCCTACAGAATAGACAGCACTTTACTACCTTTCTTTTCAATTAATCTCGGCTGTGCTGGCCTAATGGGACTGTGTTCTCTGGCAATGCTCCAGAGGACCCCAGGATTGACCCCGCCTACCTGTCGTTTCCTTGGTGGTTTGATTATTTCCCTCTGGTTTCCCCTGGCAGCAGCAGCTCTATTAATTGGAGCCACCTGCTTGGTTGCATGTCCTCTTTTCCCCCAGAGGAGCTGCAACTCCACGTGCTGTTCCATCGTCAGCTCGCCACTGTCTCTGTTCAAATTAGGTTGCAGAAGAGGAGCACGGTGACAGCCTGAATTCAAATTGATCCTGCTATAGGTTTGCAGAACTTGCAACCGGAGCAAGCACACCCATAGTGCCCTGTATTACAAGTGTGCCTTGATTTAAACAAATTGAAGCATGCAAAAGTGTAATGTAGAAAACTGAAAAATCCAAGGTGATGGTTCTTAGAAACATAATCTTTGAAATTGAAGAAACTTAAAAGCCACTTACTTCAACCTTTTATCTAGTATATGAATTCTTCTTACAAAATCCCCTGTAAGTGGCGCACAAGATAGTAATTGGTGCATTCAGTAACAAGGAACATATTCTCCCTAGAAGTAGTCCATGCCATTTTCAGAGAGAGAATGAGATTTCTTCCGCATGCTAAACCTAAATCTATTTCCCTATATTCAGCCCATTGGCTTGAATACCGACACCTGCGAGGATATAGAAAAAGAAAATTTCTCTCCCAAACTTCAACTATTTAAACACAACTGTAATGCTCCATAAATATTCTTTTCTCCAGGCTAAATATTCGCAGTGTTTTCAACCTTTCTTTATAATATCATGATTTGCAGATCTTTGCTTCCTTCATCATTCTGGCTGTTTTTTCTTCTCTGACAAAATTCTCTCTGTTAAAGTATGAGTTCTAGAACCAAACCAGTGATCTGAATGCTGCATGTAGAAGGAACTGTATCATTTCCCTAAACCAGAAACTACCTTCTATGACTGTGGACTAAGATCTTCTATGGGTTAGAGAAAGTCATGTTTGTTGTCCCAATGAACAAACCCCCAAATCTCAGCTGCAGTAAAGTTTATTTGTTCACCCCACAGTTGGATGAAGGGCTAGAGACCATTCTCTATCTTGTAGCAAAGCCATGGGGTCCATCTGGCCTCCAGACATATGCAAGCAGAATATGCTTACAGCAAATCTCTCCCTCCTGCTCTCTCTTTTACCTTTTCCTTCTCCCTCCTCCTCTTTTTCTTTTTCTCTTCTACTAATTCAATTAATCCTCTCAAGAACCCTGTAAGGAACATGCAACTATTGCCCACAATTTATTAAATGAAACACTGAGACTTGGCAAAGTGAAGTGTCTTCCCAAAATCATCCATTTAGTAAGTGGAAGAGCCAGTCTGAGACCTCAGCCTGCCCATGCCTGCCAGTGTTCTCAATAACTGCACAATGGGGAAAGTGCCCTTTAACCATGATTGGCAGCCAGTTCATCACTTTAGAATTTTATTCTAACCTTAGAAAATCTTCTCTTCCCTTTTCTAATAACTGATATAAAATAGAATAGAGGAGCCTCATTTCTGTTGACAGCAGGGACCTAACACCTCTCTCTGTGTCAGTAGTCCCTGACTCAGTGGTTACCCTACACAGGTGCTAGGAGCCAAACACAAGGCACGCACTATGTGTATGCTACAGGTATCCGGGGCACAGAGGCCAGGTGGCCTTTCCAAGATGAAACTCATGTTTCCTGGCTCAAGTCCCAATCCAACCTCAGAACCTGGAAGTATAATGGCACTGTTCTATACGCTTTTATGTAACTCAGTTCTCATGACATTTGTTTGCAGTACGTACGATAATTTTTTTCATTTACAATAAAGGAAAGTTGGTCTTGGAACATGCTAAATGACTTGCCTGTGTTCACACAGCTAGTAAGTGGCAGAGCCCATTTAAACCTGGGCTTCTTCCTCCTCAGCCACTCTACACTTTCTTCAGTGTAGCCTATCAGCAAATCAGCACTATTTTCTTGGAGATTTTCAAATTCAAGTCATCAAAGAGCTCTAATTACAACATGTACACAGCTTTGCCTGCAGGTCCATTGAAAATAATTCACTGATGATCTTCTTTTATTTTCCAGGGACCCCTCATCTTTGGAGATCATTCCCAGTGCCATAGTTCTATTGCTTCCTGATGACAGGTGCCATGGCCCTTGGATAACCTCTTCATAATACTCTTGTTATAAAAAGGAGCCTTCCTATCCTAGCAAGTGCGACATAAATCACAAGAGGTGTTTGCTCCCTACGGTTAACTCACCTCCTTTGGAGTCAGGCTGCCCCTGAGTGGCTACCAGGGCCCTGACCTGCCTCCAGTTGGGGGGCCTCATACTCACCGGCACCCTTATGCTCCTGGCTGTGAAAAGCATGGTGGGGCATAGTGGGGAGGAGTGGTGATTTGATCTCTACAGCCTAGAAAGCTTTGCAATTGAAATTTAGGAAACAGTTATTCAGATTAAGGAGACTGGCAAGACTGGACAACCCACCCAGCTGGGGTTACCACAGTGCCTGTGAAGTTAACCTCCTAATAGAAACAAACTTCCAAATCTAGTAAGCAAGGTGTGTCATCTCAACTCAAGAAGAATAGCCTTGGAAGTCAGTCACACTGGCTGCCCACTCTGTTCACAGCCCTCTGCAGCCAGAGAAAGGCTGGAGAAAGTGCTAGAAGCTTCCTCCTCATTTACCTCCTTCTCCTGCACAATCACTCATCCACTCTGAGCTGCTTTGTTCTGGTACCCAAGGAAATCAAGTGGGTACAGGTTTTCCACCACATGAAAAGCTTTTGCAACATCTCTGAGTTCTGTATCTCCTAAGGAAATGGGCCTGTAAGGGAAAGAGACTTTTATAGAACTGTGAAATATTACATCTTGAATGGATGCACAGAATTACCTAATGCAATGCCTCATCTTTAGATGAGGAGACTAAAGTCCTTAGAGGCAACAACTTGCTGAGGCCACGCGCACATGCACTGTTTTTCTTACCACTTGTAGGCCAGGGAGGGAACTGCATTTTTTTCGCTCTGTGCCATTGTTTACCCAAATATGAAAATAAAGCTACTGACAAACTATAGAACAGAATCTGTTGAAATTGTTTCTCTGAAGAGTGGTAACAGCTCTTTGATGATCCGGAGGCACTTCGTAAGTCCAGTTTATCTAATGCCCAGAGTGTATTTGCAGGGTAGCAATTAAGTGTCTCCAGTCAAGGAACAGGGCTAACCTAATTAGCCACCAATGTCACTAAATACATGATCTAGGTTGGCAGGCAGGGGCTAGCCAGCCTAGCTATTGCTAGCCAGCCACCGATAGTAGTGTGGAGTACCCAGTGCAGAGGAGGGGACTTACCTCAGTGACATTTCAATTAAACACATCATCAACTCATACAGGCACTTGCAAATATGAGAATATAAATTTGAAATATGATACTTTCTTATAGGTAACTTTAGAGTTGAAATAGGAAGCTGAAACTTCATGTAACCACTGTTCTGTCCCCAGTGTATTCCTGGGATCTATCTCAGTGCCTTGCACTCAATACTGTTTACTGAATAAACGAAGCAGTGAGTGAAAACATGTTCTTATAAAAGCAATTACCGATAAAGCTACACAAATCTGTTAACTCAAATTCTCATTTGGTTTTAACTTCCCCATTGCAATTTAAAGCCTACCTTCATTTTCATGCATATCAATATCCCCAGCAAAGAGAAACCTGCATGAAAAAAAAAAAAGAAAAGAAAAACTGTGCATTTCCTCCGTGCTCCAGACTTTCCAAGTAATCCTGCCATTTGGAAGCCTATTCATAGTCTCTAAAGTACCGAAAGGCCTTGCAAAATGCTCATAGGTGAAACAGTAGAAAGCATCTAGAGCCAGCTGGGAGGGAGCCTTCTGCTTCCAAGAACAAAATCACACATTTGACAGGTGCTTCCTGTTTTTTCAAACACCTTGCCCACCTTCTGCCCACCAAGCGTGCATTCTGCAAAACGTGAGCCCAACAGGAAGCTGCCTGCAAATTCAGGTAGCTTCTCTGACTCTTAAAGAGGTCTTGCATATACTTTCAGAAAAATGCCAGCAGAGGCTGTAGTCATTTGGGAAGGAACAAGACTGGAAGAAAAACACACAGCAGACTAGCATAAAGAGGGTGAGAACATTTTTCTGTGAATATGTTATCTGCAAATTACATTTTTAAACAAATAAATGTGTTTTCTTTAGGCTTTGAGCTCCTGTGGGTGGAATTAGGAGAACTGACTGCAGGTGGGTGGTGTTTGTCATTTCTCCCATCTGAGGGAGGGGGAGGAAGGAGGAAGGCCAAGGTGGGAGTGCAGGAAGGAGGCCCCCAGGGCTGGAATGTCCCAACTGAGCTCAGGGGGATGGATTACTATAAGAATTTTTCTGTTTCAGGAAGCTCACAAACCCTTCCTGAGGTTTCAGAATCCCCCTGAAATGAGCACGGAGAGCACTGATTAGGTTGTGGTAGTGTTCACAGTAAGTTTTGACCGTACTATTCTCAGGAACTTCTTCTTAACATAGTCACAGGTAGAAAAGTTGGGATGAGAATGCTAAGGACACTGCACTCATTTCAAATAAATTCAGAAAAGAAGTTGTTCAAGTGACAAGTGCCAGGTCACATATTATAGGTATTTGGATAATCTTGGGTAATAGATTGATTTTTGTTAATATAATTAAAATTCACAATAAAGGAAATAGGTAATGTCTGCTAATAGTACTGGTTCAGTTACCAATATGTGTTCTTATAGTTGCTTTTGTTTTGTTCCATTTCTTTCCAATCCACTTTGCCAAATTAAGTTAAATTGTGTAAATGTTATTGTTTATTAAATCTACTCTTTGATGCTCTTTTTTTTTTCCTAAAATGAAATTAAAATCAATAGCCACAAAGTTAAGCTTCTTCCAGTTAACTATAAGAGCTACACAGAAGAACGTTTCTCTGCTGGGATTCAAATAAGTATTGTAAGCTATTCTGGTCAAAAGTGGTCCATGTAAATCCTACATACAACCACCCTTAGCAGTGAATTAAGGGAACAAATTTAAGAGCAATTAACTTTGCTTTGCTTGTATAGTAACAAAGTTAAAAACACCAGAACATCTTACATAACAAATGGAAACCTTCTAATCCTTGTTAAAGGAAACTTTATACATCTAAGGGTTTGAAATACAGTAATGATTCCCTTAAACTGTAAAATATGTTCAACACAAGAATTTATTCCTCTTTCACTTGCCTTATGTGTTTTGATGTAGCACCATGTCACTGTGTGCGAATACCTGTTGAGGACCCAACATGTACATGCTACAGATTTAAATAAGTCCCTGTCCTGAAGGAATCTGACATCCCCTCAAGACATAGATGTGCCCTGGTGAAAAGATCACCAAATAATGGCAGAGGAGGACTGGAGTTTAGTCTTGGTTCTGTTATTTACTAAGCATCTCAGACTTTCAATTTTTTCCTTAGCAAAAGGAAGGAATTATAGTATGTGTTCTGCAAAACCTCTTCTAGCCTTAAAATGTATTGATTCCTAGGTTTTAAGTGGCAAATGAGTTGCCATAATAGTTCTGAGAGGGAAGAGACTAGATAGTGTTGGAGCATCTTGGAAAGGCTTTGTGGGGCTGAGAGATGTGGGCTGAGTCTGGGAAGGGACCAAATCTAAGAAGGCAGAGATGAGGGACAGGAGGTCACGGGGCACAGTCAGGAAACCAGGGGATGCTCAAATATGGCTAGATCCAGACAGACCCACAAGGCACATCTGAGTATCACAGAAAATCCTGTCCATTGTCACCTTAATGAGAGAGGGTATTAATTAATGGTCACTTGTGGAAAAATTTTAGTAGCTGAGACTGATGACCCAATGAACATGGCGTCCTCAGAGGAAAGCCAAGATGGGCTGGATTTTAAACTCTGAACTCTTTCCCAAGGTTCTTCAGTTGCATACAGATGAGTCTTCAGTTAGTACTCTCGACTGCAACTATGCCCTCAATTGACCCTTCTTTTAAATAGCTTGGTGTCCCTTAAAGAAGCTAAGAAAATAAGGGTTCCTGAAAGAAAATTATGCAAAATCATAGGATAACAAGACCATTTGTCTCTGAGCATTGGAGGGACTCACTAAGGGTAGAGTGACACTATCCACCAACTAGGAAAGTTGTGGCTTCCTACTTTCAGGTAGGTCCATATGACTCCTGCTCTTTGCCCTTTGACCCCATGCTGTTCTCTCCACCCGTTTCTTTATGGTCTCTCATGCCTCCAGGCCAATTCAGCCCCAGGGCTAGCTGTCTCCAGTGTGTCATCTGGGGTTACCAGGCCCATCATTTCTTTGTTCATCTGGTATATCCTTTGCTGTCCAACAATCTCACTGTTTGTTCTTCCCAGTTCTACTCCTGAACATTACAGTGGAAAGTTAGAACTGTGCTAAGTACGTCCCCCATAAATTTGTTCTTTTAAAACCCAATTGTGCTATCATTCCCACTCATCCACTGAAAAAAAAATTCCCATAATCACCTGTAAATATTCACCACTATTCATTTTTTTCTTCAAATTCTTATTGCCTTGCCTTTTACTCTCTGAAGATATCCTCCATCTTGTCTTCTTGAGGATTTGGATATTACGTCATATAAATTCCCTCAACATTCCCCACTGTTTCATCTCATGTTTATGCTGTAGCTTCATCCAGGTGCCTACTTAGCTAGCATTTAAAAGATGTTTATTATGAGCCAGGTCCTTGAGTATATACTATCATTAAATCTTTTCAACAACTTTATGAGGTAAATATTTATTTCACAGATGAATAAGCTGTGTGCCCAAGATCACTCAGCCAATAAAGAACAAAGCCAGGATTTGAATTCAGGTAGTCTCAGTCCAGAGCCCCTGGTCCCAGGTTGGGGGTTAGGTGGGCAGTATGTGGTGGGGAGGGTCCCAGGTGGGGGTTAGGTGGGAGTATATATAACCTCATATCCAAGACTAACATGTCTCTTCTACCTCAAACTTCTATCCCATCTTCACTCACCTACTCAAGAAACTTGCATCAGTTAGCTTTGGCTGTGTAACAAACCACCCCAACCTTAGTAACTTAGAACAGCCATCATATATCATAGAACAGCTGAGATCAGCTAAGCCTGTTGCATATGAGCAGAACTATCTGCATAACCAAAAATTAACTTCCACATAGAAAACAGTGATAATTAAATGATAAGTGAAATAGTTTTAAAATGTGCAGGAACCACTGAAATTGCATAGAACTGAGGCAAACATGAGAAATGTTGGCATATGGCAATAATAAGAAAGCAGACTGGCTTTTCGTCTGTTATATTTTTCTTTTTGAGTTCTCTACAGACCGTGCACCCCCTTATTACCTGTGCCCAAGGGAGACACTCCCACTACCCAGCCCTGGTGCCCCAGTGCTCCAGAATCCATGTCTCTCTCCTGAGTCTTAGCAAGGATGCAGAATGTTTATACTGTAAGCTTCCATCATCATTTTTATCTCATTATGTTAAAAAACAAAAATCAAATTTTAAAATGCCTTAATTTGTCCTCATGGACTCTGGAGCCAGGTTTCAAGGTTCGATGCTTAACTAAACCTTTTTGTGTTTCCATTTCCTCCTTTGTAAAATGGTGACAATAAAAGCCCATATCTCATAAGATTTAGGGGGCAGAGAATTAAATGAATTAGTACATATGTGGTGCTTAGGTATATGCCTGGCACATAGTAAACACTCAAAATTCATCCATGCTTAATACCGCTGGGTTTTGTCGGATCTTATTCTTCCATGCCCCACTCCTCATATCCTAGAAGCTGAGTCATCTCCAGTCTACTTTCTTCTTTTATATTCCAATTATCACTTCCTAGTTGTTTCATTAGTTCCCGATTGTAGTATTATAACAGTCTCCTTTGTCCTACCCTTAATTTGTTTCTACATTCCCTGAACATTTACTTAAAAGTCAACTGTGTGTCAGGCACTATGCTAGAGATGGAAGCAATGAGCCTTTGGGAACTTGCAATCAAGCAAGGGAAGAAAGATTCACGAACAGAGAAGGAAAATAAATACATTTTGCAGATGCCATAAGAGAAGTTTCTGCAGGGCACAGTGATGGAACAAGGGAGAAAAAAGTTAGGAATGCCTCAAGATAGAAGCAGCAGGAGATAAAGGAAAGTTTCATGGCCTCTGGAGTCAATCCAACCTGGACCCCCATTCCAGTTCTGCCACCTCTTAGCTCTGTGAACTTGCAAAGTTTGCTTTTTTTTTAAATGAATATCTCAAGCATAGAGAAAAGTATCTAGAATAAAATAATAAATATTAATGTACATATATCAGCCAGCTTTGGTCAATGTTAACATTTTCTCATAGTTATTTCAGATTTTTCCTAGGAAATAAAGTGTTAAGGATAGACTTTAAGCTAGTTATGTACCACCTTTCAATCAAATTCTCTTCCCCACTCCCTCCCTCTTTCCACTCTCTCCAGGAGTAAACACTATTTTGAATTTGATGCTTATTAATGTTTCTATATTTATTCTCCATAGATATCTATAAATAATATGCAGTATTATTGTTCCTAAACTTTACATGAATGGTATCATACTTTGTATCTTTTCATATCTTGCTTTGGCATTAACCACTAAATTTTTGAGGTTTATCCATGTTGATACATATAATTTTTAAAAATTATTTATGCTTTTATTTTTGTTGTTTTGTTTTCTTCTTTTTTTTTTATTTCGGCATATTATAGGGGTACAGATTTTAAGGTTTCAATAAATGCCCTTTCCCCCCTCCCCCCACAAGTCTGAGTCTCAAGCATGACCATCCCCCAGATGGTGCACATCTCACTCATTATGTATGTATATACCCGCCCCCCTTACCCCTCCCACCTGCCCAATACCCTATTACTGTAGTTCCTATGTGTCCACTTAGGTGCTGCTCAGTTAATACCAGTTTGCTGGTGAGTATATGTGGTGCTTGTTTTTCCATTCTTGGTATACTTCACTTAGTAGTATGGGTTCCAGCTCTAACCAGGAAAATATAAGATGTGCTATATCACCGCTGTTTTTAACTTATTTATTTTCACCATTATATAGTATTTTGCTGGATAATTATTCTAAAATGTATCAGTCTAGTGTCTCTCTCTCTCTCTCTCTCTCT